CCTTTACAGTTATCTTTCAAAGCGCACAGTGCTTTGAAGAGGAACCCTGAGGAGCTATGGAGATATTAGACTTGTTAAGAATGTTTCGTAGGATTGTCAGTGTCCGTTTGAATGTCCTTTTTCCTTTTTAGTCACATAGCAGCCCTGTCAGCTGGTGGCAGATTATGGTATTAGAGACTTGTGATAAAATTAATTACAGGTAATCAAAGAGCCATCATTACACTTTTTAGCCAGAGTCCATTATTAAGAGTTTTCTCTTTTGCAGATAAGATAATCCCTAGGTCCCTTCCAACTCTAAATTCTCTCACAGAACATACCGATGGGTCTATATTGGTTACTGACTTTGACACCCCTTCCATCAAGAGTCAGCCGTATTTTCCTGATGACGAGCTAGACGTCCTCCTGTTTCTTAGATATTTGAATAAGAGGACATTGCGTTGGAGTGCAGTTCTCTGACTTAGGTCGAGTATCTAGCTAACCTTGCCAACCAGCACTGGCACCACTAACTCTGGTGACTGATCAAATGTACTTCCTTTACAGCTCCCTTTACTAGTGGTAACTCCTGACCTAGATAATCTGTCCTTACAGTTGGATAATGCCGCAGTTCTGGTGTTGGGTGAGGTATCTGAGTTGCCCCTCCTAGTTTCACTGATGGCAGCACTTGCATGAGTTTATGCTAAGCCGTTTGAGTGTGCGCTTCAGATTTCCCTCTCTGTTCTCCCAACGCCTCTTTGAGACAAAGTTAAAGATCAGGAACCTTAGCTTGAACTGACTGGTGTCATGGCAACTAGCACTTCACCTTTTGCCGGTCCCCATCTCATACATGCTACAATATTTGTGCACATTAATAATTCATTGCAAAGTGCCAGGTTTCTTTGTGCTGTCAAAGTGTGTCAAGGTCGGAATATGCTGTGCTATCTCACGTGTCGTCTACCAGACTGTTGCGGGCAAGAGTAATTAGAAAAGAAAACTAGTCAGATTACTTGGGAAAATTCCTGAAAATGTGATGCTTTCTAGGCACCCATTTGTAGCATTTTTCTTGTGAAATAAAGACTAGAATTAGTGTTGATCAAAGTTTATTTGGTAATGTGCCCCAGATATAAGGCAGGAGTTTGGCTGTGGAAATAACGCACGAGCGGTAATTGCTCGACTCCATTCAGGCAGGAAAGGAAATGATTAACAGCCCCAGTGCTCAGTCATGTGGCTCAGCCTCCAGCGGGAACCCTGAAGACTCAGGTTCAAAAGAAACCTGAGTGGTCCTGATGGGAATGCTCTCATCCCAGCCTCGCCGTTGCCCGGCACATGGTAGGAGCTGTGTGTGTGACACTGGCTTTGGGGACGACCAGTCTGCGTTCCAGCGCTGCCCATGGCCCCGGATGGCTTACTCCAGCTCCAGTCTCCTCAGCGCCGTGCTTGTTGTTCTCCGCATTGTTAGGCGTTGTGGTAGTAACTGCGGTATTAGACCTGCAATTGTTGAGTCTTTCTAAATGAAGAATATAGGCCTTAGTCTTGGAATGTAGAAAATGCAAGGACCATTGGATTTCATATATACAGAAGGCTAAATTTGTCCCCGATTAGGCAAAGAAATCACGTTTTGTAGGAAACTTGAACCTGCCACTACCTTTTTATTTATTTTTATTTTTATTTTTTTATTTTTTGTGAGGAAGAGTGGCCCTGAGCTAACATCTGCCAATCCTCCTCTTTTTTTTTTGCTGAGGAAGACTGGCCCTGGGCTAACATCCATGCCCATCTTCCTCCACTACCACCACCTTTTTTTTTAAACTAGTCCCTCCCTCTCAAAAGAAAGCTTCATATTAAAGCAAGCAAACCGGTGTCACACTTTACTAGCTGCTTAAAAGTGAAGTGTATTTCCCAGAAAAATATGTTCACAACCCACAGTTGGAAAAGATTTTAGTCACATAGCCATGTTTAGATTCTTTTGTTTCTCTTTTCCTTTAAATACAAAACCAGTAGCTTAAATGTCCCTCCAAACGGTCCCCTCCAGTACTTCTACTTGGGGAGGAGTGGAGGAAGCAGACCCAAATCACGTTTTTAGAATATGCAGGCTGTACCCTGCCTTTGTGAAGGATAAACTAGAACTGTTTTGTATTTGATGTGCTGATTTAACACAGTTAAGTGCTGGTGAGTATAAATTCTGCTTAGAGACAGGAATGGGACCAGTTCCCATTTCATCCATCATTGTTTGGCCGGGTCATAATACAGCACCTGCATGTAATAGATGTTCAAGAAATGCTTGTTGAATGAATAAGTTACTATTACCAGACTGATTTCAGGGGAGGGGGAGGGAGCATTAATCAGTTTCAGAACCTTGCCACAAATTAAACCTAAGAAGCAGTAACTTGTTAATCTTCTATCACCTACCTTTATATAGTGCTGGGGATCTGGATTAGTCATTTAACACCTTCAGGCAACAACGTAGCACGGGAATACGGGGAATTCATTAGAGCCAACCCTCTTGGTGTCTGTGTGTTTCTGGTCAGGGCCAGCCACCAGCTACAGTTACAGTGGACGCTGGCCATGTGAACGAGCACGGTCAGCAATTCAGATTTGTCAGGTAACCAGGTAGGAAACTCTTACTGGTATTCTATGTTGTGTGTAATTTCTTAGGATTTAGTATCGAGTCCTTCTACTTACTTAAGAACTTAAAAATAGGACCCTTCGTATTAAATCTATCCCTGTTGTCCAAGACTAGGCAAACTTGTAATACTTAGAAATGATCTCTGGATAACATCAAGACTAAAGTTTATACTGTTTAGCTAATCTGGGAACAATCATAACCAGATACTTAAAAGCGGACTTACAGACTTGATTACTTAAGGATATGTTTTCTAGTTTAGATTGGAATATATAAGCTTTGAAATGTTACTTTATTGCAATTCTGTGATATAATGGCCATATATAAGCTATAGAGCTTAAAATTGAACCTATAATGACCTGAAGTGCCGCCTCTTGCCTTTTTTGGCTATCAAGCAGACCAAAATAATAATTACTATCATAATTACCCTAACCATTCCCACTTACTACTACAAGGAAATAAAACCAAGCTGAACTGTGTGTCTTGCATCCAGCAGGATGCCAGGGCTCTGAATACATGAGAAGTATTGTTTACGTCCCTCCTCCACAGGGCCTACCACAGGGTAGCATTTCTCCCTTAATACTGGAAAGAATAATCTATACCTTCCAGTTTAGTCTGGGGCAGCCAGACAAGTAAATATAAAACAATCAAAATTAAAACACCATAAAACATATAATTATATGTTACAGTGAAATGGTACTGACTATATGTCTTAAAGAAATATGGGCAAAGTCCAGATGGGCTAGAATGATATTAGATAAAGGCTTAACACCTTCAAAAGAGAATTATTGGGAAACTCTGGTGACATAAGCACTTTGAAAAGCTAAGAGGCTATGTAAATATGTGATTAATATTATTATTAATATTATACTTTGAATTACAGTCGCCCCTCGGTATCTGCGAGGAACTGATTCCAGGACACCCGTCAGATACTCAAGTCCCTTAGTCGGCCCTCTGTATCTGCAGATGCAAAACCTGCAGATATGGGGGCCAACTGTACACAGGAGAGCATTGAGGGTAGATTGTCAAAAAAGAGAAGAGCTCATGGGTAAAACCTTATAGGTGAGAATAAGTGTGACATGGGTAACAGCAGTGAGGAGGCCCAGACGAGGGGGTGTGAACGGCGGGGGGCGGGGGTTGCTATGTGATGATCAAGAGTCAAACTGGGGAAGACCTTGGGATGCTTCACAAAGATTCATCTGGCAACTGTATGCATCATGGATTGGAACATGGAAGAACTTCAAAATTAATGGAATGACTGTTTTTGATCGTGTACATGCAAAAGTTATCATAACAAATTAGATATTTATGCAACGTTCAGTGATCCCTCAGCCAGGAAATCCTCTCAGAAGGGAATGCAACTGTTCTTTAAGGCCACTGTGTAGTGTTTGGGTCTTTTTAACTTCATAAATCACGGGAAGCTGTGTTGGCAGTGGGATATAACTCAACAGTAGACAGATTGCTCTTTGCTGCTTTCTTTTAAGAAGCAGGTTATAAAACTGTTGGGAGCCCGGTAGAGTAGTTAATAGATCATCTTAAGCAATTTGAAGTAATTTTTTTTTTAAATACAGCCTTGCGTCTTGAAGGCAAGAGAGCTAGAGGGAAAAGAGAGTTTAGTGAGTGAGAAATCAGTGCCACCTCTGGGTCCACTGTCCTGGAGCTTCTGCCACGGGCTCTGCCACCCTGAGTGGCTGGTCACCTGCCTCCGTGGGAAAGTCACTCCCCAGTAGACTCCACAGTGGAATGTGGGCATTCAGAATGCCAAAAGTTCTTGTCAGTGCAGAGTTAGCATTATGACGTATTTTTCATTAAAATGATTCTGTACTTTTACTGTTTTTTTGCATCCTAAAATATTTTGCCTTCTGTTAGTACACTTTGGTAATCAAGCCTTGGATGCTGGAAGATGATGCTGGAAGCTCTCTTCCTTCACGGGTCTTTTACTGTTTAGACATAGCCGTGTAAAGTAAACGTTAATACGAGGCACCTGTTCGTGGGGAGGCTGGAGATCCCTCACAGACCATGAGATCGCTGTGCTAACGTGTCATGAGCATGAAAAGATCTCTGACCTGGGAGTCGTTTAGATTAGCAGATAACTATCACTTGAAAGGTGATAAAGAGCCTTCTGCTAATGGCTTTCTTTTCATCTCTGGACATTGTCCCCAAAAGCTCTTGTGTTACAGTCTTGTTGGTCACGGCTTATAATAGGCCTGCCCTGCCAATGATACGGTGCTGAGTTAACCAGATGCTTAAAAGATCTTCTCTTTCTGATAAGCGTGAAATATTTTTAAATGAATTGGGAAATGTAACATTATGTGGGTGAAACTTTGTCTTGTGATCTTGGATTGGGTTTTAGATGAAACTCGTCATGTCGGTTCTAAAGCCTGAATCTTACTTTTTCTTTCAGACCACTAAAGCTTTTCTTCCTACAATGCTGGAGATTAACCATGGTCATATTGTGACAGTTGCAAGTTCCTTGGGACTGTTCAGTACCGCTGGAGTTGAGGTTTGTCAAATGTAAAAACATTTCCTTCATTCAGTCGGTTTATCTCGTGACGAATACACTAAAATCCTAAGAAGAGCACCTGTGCCCGTACAATCATGAGAGCCCACGAAAGCACGTACCTGTGTGCTGTTTGTGGAGTGTTCCAAGTCACCCAGGCCAGCTGTGGAAATGCCGTAAAATCACTTACGCTAGTCTGACAAAGCGGCAGCAGCAAGACAAGGTGGGCAAGTCCTCGGCATGCCCCATTTTCATTAGCAGTTTTGCTTGGTGACAGCAGGGAGACACAGGGTCAAGAAGGAAACCGTGGAGGGCAGTGGCAGTGCCACGGGAAACAGATAAATGAGGCCAAAGGTTGACGTTCTGTTTTGGTCAGCCTGCCAAAAGTGAGCCATCTTGTATTAGCTCATCAGATGAGATGGTAGGGCGGATGTGAGGTGTCTGGTATTGTCAGTTTGTAGAACTGGGCTTAATCAAACCCCGTTCTTCACCATATTCAAATTATAAAGCATGTGTATGTGTACTGCTCTGTGCTGTTTGTCCTATGGGTGCCTGTAGCGTAAAATTAAAAACGTTACCCCAGGCAAATACACAAAACGACACAGAGTAGATGGCTTCTGCATCCTGCATTTCCATTCCTAAATTTGGAGTTGGGTAATAGAGAAGAACTTTCTTTCTATACCATGTGTCCTTGGGTTAAGTTCCAGTTTAAGTTTACCAGGTGTACTTATCATTTTCATTTTTACTTTACCCTAAAAAGAAAATTGGATCATAACAACTTATAACCTAAGCTAGACCTGCCTTTGTTCTCTTAGCATTAATTTAAACAAACTGGTTTTTCAGTCCCTTTACTGAACAAGAGACCATTTGTAAATTTTCCAGACACTTCAAAGTGAATCTCTCTCCATTTTTAACTTCAGCTTGTTAGCTTTCATAGAATCCTTTGTGGTAACTTCCCAAAGTAATATGATACTTCGTTGATGTGGCAGAAAGTGTTCATCTGTTTCTGCTGTTGCTTTGAAAATATTATTTCTGCCCTGAACCACATCAGATACCTGTCTTTTAAAATGCTTTCCTTTTCTTTGCTTAGTCACCTGTAGCCTTTTGTATCAAACATGTAACCAGAGTAATGGGCCCAGGGAAGCCTGGGTTTGGTTGGGCATCTGTGCACATACCTAGTATTTCTGTTGCCTCTCCCTCTAACTCAGGATTACTGTGCCAGTAAATTTGGAGTCGTGGGTTTTCATGAATCCCTGAGCCATGAGTTAAAGGCTGCTGAAAAGGATGGAATTAAAACAACGCTGGTTTGCCCTTACCTCGTAGACACTGGCATGTTCAGAGGCTGTCGAATCAGGTCAGTGAGAATCTATTACTGAGAAAAAGCTGTTTTAAAAATCATCTTTCCATCCTGGGAGAATATGTGGAATTGAATCTTCAAACGTGGTCAGCCTTGTGCTTTAATAACTATCACTTGACAGTTAACCTGTAGTTTTCATTGGTCAAGGTGTATAAAATTGGAGTGTGTAAGGCTGACGAACGAGGGTCTGATATTAGCTTGCAGAAGTTGATCTAGAAGCATCAGATGGGAAATGGCTTCTCTGCTCCTGCAAGGAGAAAACAAATGCCCAAGATTCTCCTTAGAAGCTACTTCTTTAGGAGTTATTTTCTTTTTTTATTATTACTATTGGTAAATAAATGTGACTTTGGTTTGGATACGAAACAATGTCACCGTCACAGGCTGCGTCACAGTCGCAGCCTTTCCTCTGAAAAGACCCTGGAATATTACACTCCAGATTTGGAACTTCCTTTCTGCAGAGAGTGTATGTAGCTAGATTCGCTCTGACAGAATGAAAAGAACCATTTAGATTTACTAAAAATGAAATAAAATACCCACACACTTTGAAAGGAGGCATATGGGAATAGAAATGTCAAGTCGAATCTGACTTGAGCTGAGCAGAATAAACAAAACCATGAATCATGAGGAGGATACTTGTGAAGACATGCTTACTTGGAGATCTTTGCTTGGAAGGATTTGAAAGGCAGAGGAAGATAACCAAACCAGTTCCCTGTTGGTCAGGGCCATTCTTAACACATCCCGAACCTGACCAAGTTGTGGAGGAGGTGGAGGGTGGTCTGAGTCATTCCAGTCTCAGGCAGACGGACTCCAAGTCTGGACTGAGAACGGACTTAAGCTGTGCCTCTTTTCCCGTGTGTGTACGCGTGTGTGCAGTTGTGTGTGTGTGTGTGTGTGTGTGTGTGTGTGTGTTTTTCCTCTTACATACTTAGGAACCAGTCACTGAGGGTCTGAGGTGCCCTGTTTCCTATTTAGCATCACAGCAGGTGTCCAAAGCTGTGGTGGGACAATGAAAAGTGAAGAGTGAAAGAAATAAATTATATTATTAGGTTATTTCAGCGTGTCACTTAATGAATTCAGCTGAAGGTAGGATGTTTGTATACACTTCATTTCAGAGGCCCCCTAGAGAAAATACCTTGGCTTTCCCTATTCAGGCATCTGGGAAAGTCTACAGCTGACTTTTATTTCACTCAGAAAGGTTATGCCAGTGTTTACACACATCATTTTAACTACACTTAATACTAAAAGTTTGGCATCTTGTTTGGGTTTCATGTTTGTTATGCCAAACCCCCTCTCCTGTTTCTACTGAAAGAAAAAAATAAAATAATTTGAAATTCATTTTAAGGCATTTTACAGATAGGACTTTCTCGCTTTACAGAAAAGTAGACTGATTTTGCTGGGCTTTTTTTTTTTAAACTTGTTTTCCAGACTGTGCAAATAAAATGTGTTCATGGTAGGAAAATTTGGAAAGTACAGAAAGCGCAATGAAGGAAACAAAATGGACCCAAAATCCTGTCGCTCGGATACCGTCCCTGTTAATGTTTTGATGTATATTTCCAGTCTTCCCCATTTTGTGTTAATTCTTAATTTCATGTTTTTGAATATGTAACTTTCAGGAAAGAAATCGAGCCTTTCCTGCCCCCTCTGAAACCTGATTACTGTGTGAAGCAGGCCATGAAAGCCATCCTCACCGACCAGCCCATGATCTGCACCCCCCGCCTCATGTACATCGTGACTTTCATGAAGAGGTAATGAGGGCTCCCCTCGCCCCCGTCACTTAATAACACGACGTATCTCGTGTTTGCTAACGACCGTGGCTTTCCGTTTTCAGCATCCTCCCCTTCGAAGCCGTCGTGTGCATGTATCGGTTCCTAGGAGCAGACAAGTGCATGTACCCCTTTATCGCTCAACGAAAACAAGCCACAAACAATAACGAAGCAAAAAATGGAATCTAAGCGTCTTTTTTGTATGGAATATCACTTCTATCAGAAGACGATCAAGAGGTTTCAGTCCGATCCACATCAGCATCACTGACATTCTCGAGATTCTAAATCCATGTGGACTTTTTTTTTTTTAATCAAATTTTTAAAAAAAATAAAGTGTAAATTAACCAACTAGAGTACTGGGAAAACGTCATCAGCGAGAGTGAGCTTCAGTTGTTGCCAACGGGGTCCTTTTTAGGCAGAACCCTAAAACCAGTCAGATCTTTTAGACAAGCACTGTCGGGACATCTCCAGGCTACCATTATTTTTTTGAACAAGCAGCAAGTCTAGAGATGATAACTACGGTGTGTTTCACCTGTGTGGTTTCTCTTAATTCCCGTAGAGTTTATTAATTCTTGTAATTAAACTCTAGCCGACTGACACCCTTGCAATTTCAAGGACTGATAGTGCTATATTTTCTCATGTTTTCTAAGTTTCAGTTTTGCAAAGCCTGTGTGGCTTTTTCATGGTGTTTGTATGTACAGCTCTTGTCAAAAGGAATTTTGAATCTCCATCAATTTGAAGTAAATGATGCTTAATTATTACAGTAAAGGTGATCAGGTCTCTTTCTTAAAGTCAGAATGACTGAAGCGTTAGCCGAATTTTAAATGTTATCTCTGAAATCTTTCCTTAAGTATCTATCACTCTGGAGACCTAGTTATCCAAAAAAGATCATACATTTTCTACCTATGAATTTTGCTGCATACAGAAAGTGCCCTTTCCTCAGGAAGTTGCTGTGTTTCATTTCTTTTATCTAGAATACATAGCAGCTCTGCAAAGAAACAGTTTCTAAAAATGGGAACTTCTGCATTTTAAAAAGTCCCCATTTTTGTGCCAACTATGATTAGTGAGGGGGAAGAAATCGTATACTATGGAGTACGTATGGAAGGGTGTAAAGATTCTTTTGCAAGTTTTATTCACGTTGTAGAACAGCAAAGGACATTTTTACAGTATTTTTTTGTAAAGCAAACTATTTTGTGCCTTGAATTTGGTAAATGTGTATTAGTGAAACGTTGTAAAAGTGAACTTCTACCTCTGTATCTAAATGTATACCATCCACTTGTAAATTACTATAAACTATTATGTGATTGCTTTTTTTTAGAATGTCTTGTTTAAATAGCGACCAATGTTTAAGGCTATTGAAATAAGCCATCTTTTACTAATTAACTGGGAAGTTTTATAAAGGACTGATTAAATTTAAAGAATTAACTTACATGCAATTGACTGTGTGATTATTAGTTATCAGCAATGTTGTAGGGAAAATCATTGTGTTCTTTTTTTCCTCTGCTATATCACGCCTTAGTTAAAGAAAATGCTTGAATGGGATAGTGTTCAAGAACAGACATTAACAGCTTAGGGTGCTATACGCTCAAATTTCCAATTTTGTCCTCTACTTAGATTAGACACTATCAGGAGCTTATTTATACTGAAAGTGGGAAAAGAGAAAGAATCCCATTACCTGTGTGTTAGTTTGGCTGCACCACAGATCAGATCTGCACTGTATCCCACACAGGAAAGTCCTGGCTCACTGCTAGTGTCCGCAGTGCTGGTCCTAAGGAATAGCTTCTCTCTATGTTTGAATTTCTCCATAAAGAGAAACGATAACCAAGCCTGAGGCCATTATAGCAATTGAGGCATTGGGTGCCTCTTAATTTTCAATTTTGAATTTAAAGAAGTACTTTGAGGTAGGACTTCATCACAGCGTGGGGTGGAGGCAGGTATTTTCAGGGTTTACCCAGGTCTGCCCTGAGCACCCTCAAACCATCCTAGAGAAACCCATTTATCCATCTTAAGACTAAGGAGTCTTCTTTACATTTAATTTTATTCTCATGTGTTGTAATTTACACCTATTTCTATTTTTGTCTGTTACTGCCCTTATAAGGTTGACCATCTCTAAGTTCAATAAACCTAATTCATTTAACTTTTTGTAGGAGTCTTCAATTCCCACGTCCCAGCCTAGTTTAATTACTTCTGTGGCTGTCCCTTGAGTGTTGTCCAAATTCTTTCCCAACTTTAGCTGTAGAGTGTGGAAGGGGATAGAATTAATGCAGGTGTAGGCCTGCAGGGTTCCTGAATGTTGTACTTCTCCATCCCAGTATCCCATTCTTAGTATAATGCCACGTTGATAGTGATTGTTGCTATTTTCCCTAAACATGAACCCTCTTCTGGTCAAGCCTACATACTTGTGTTGATCACTTAAGTAATTGCCAAGGTTACTTTTCTTGCTAATTATGCATCCACACCCCCACCCACCTTGACATTAATGCTGACTTTGAATATGTTCTCTTTTCTGTCATCTGGCCCATGCAGGCCAGTGTTCAGGGCCACTGGTCTCAGGCTGACCCCCTGGGGAGCACCACTTCTGTCCCCCACTTGGAACTGGCTCACTCTCTCTAACCTTTCAACCAGTTTAATGATAATCATATTGAGTGGGTCCCAGGAATCAAAAGTTTCGAAGCCAACAAAGATAAATTCCAACTATTGTTTTCCCCCTTGATCTACTAGGTCTGCTGCTCTGCCACAAAAGATTAGATTAGCTTGACCAGGATTGAACTACATAAAGCCGGACTGGTTTTGGTTTTTTTTTTTTTTTAAGTATCCTGTTTCCTTGAAAGACTATAGCTCTCAAATTTTTCCAAGTTAAGAAGTCAAATGTCTTTTTCAAAGTTTTCTTTTCCAACAGGCAGAAATAATTCTAAATTCGGGTTGACCTGAATCTTGGAAATGTGCTTTGGCCTCCAACAAAATTTAAAATCAGTGGGGGTTGGGGAGGAAGGTTGTTCTTTCCATGGCGAATGTATTGCCTGTGTCGGGTTGGGAAGAGGAGGAGGGGAAGTGAGGCTGTGACGGGCCAAGAGGGCTGGGGCACACAGTCAGCATTCACCCAGTCAGCTTAGCAACTACATCAGCCATCTACAAAACCCAAGGACCTATCCCAGAGACTCAAGTAGCTTGCTGTTGACTCAAGTTCAAATTCCAGTACCTTTATGTGCTTGTGTCACAAATGAAGCCTCAGAATGTGATGAGGTCTCAGCAAGATGGGGAGGCGAGAGGTGGCAACTGAGATACGCCTTGAAAGTTGGTGATGCAACAGATGGGGAGGAGAACGGGAGCTTGCACAGTCCAGAAAACTGATTATCAGGAAAGGCCCAGAGGTTAAAAAAGGAAGATTCTACTCATTGTGCCTGAAATAGGACAAGTGAAGAGGATGCCCTGCACTCCCTGAGAAGCTCCCATCTTGAGAATAGCCTTCCTTCTAGGATGGGGATAGAGAAGAAGGAAACCCTAGGAAGTTTCTTAGCAGGAAGGGCCATGAGTGGAGTTGTGAAGTTGATAGAATCCATCAAGCTACTATAAAGAATTTCAAGACACAGGAAGCCGGGAGACTGGTTAGGAGGGAACCTTTTATGGAAGTCCAGCTGAGAGGTGATAGGGTCTATAAGAGAGCCTGGCTGTGAGAATGGAAAGGAAGAGGTGGCTACGACAGTGTGGAGGGAGAATTCTGTGAGGCTTAACAGCTGATTGCACCGGAGCTTAGCTTTTAAACTTGAAGGTTGTTTTTAATCGGGAGCAGCAGAACAAACAGTGAATCTGATTTTAGAAAGTTGCATTTGAGATGCCAGGTAACAATAACTGGCAAAGACGTGGACATCTAGATCGGGTCCTCAGGAAAGAGGTTGGTGCTAGGATTCTGGAGTCATCTCCATGGAATCTGAGGAGTGAAGGAAACTGGGACGGGGCAAAGCACAGAATGAGAAGGTCCGTGGACCAAAACTTGGGGAGCATGAGGCAGCAGCGAAGGAAAAGTCATAAAACGTGATGTTGGAGCAAACTTCAGAGGAGAACTTCCTCCTCCCAAGGAGAAATCAGACTAGAAACATTCATCTCCTGCTTGGACCTAATCTCCAGTCTGACTCACACTTAAGAAACCTCAGGCTGGCCCAAGAAAAAGAGCCTGTGTGGCCAGCCCTGGGGCAGAGGCTGGAAAGGTGAAGGGCAGTGTTAACAGATAGCACATGGAGTCTTCAACCGTGCACTCGGGTTTCTAGTAACTGAATCCATTGTTAAAACTACCAAAGGAAAATTTCTCAGTGAAACCTGGAAACTGTTGTTCGTTGGCAATTTTGTTTGCTTGGCCTCAGAAGCATGACTTGCTTAAATGTACAGGCAATGTTTCGTGAGAACCCTGGGGAAAAACAAAACGCATTTCAAGTGTCACCAAATGGATATGTGTTGGTTCAACTGAACCATCGTTATGCACCAGAAAGATGGGACGGGGCCAGCTTCCATCAGTCTGCTCAGGGGGACAGGCTCCTATCTGGTTCCCTCAAGTACTAAACTCACATGGGGCCAAGAACTGCTCCAGGCAGGTCCCAGGTCAAAACGGATGTCACTGCCCTCCCCAGCTCTCCCAGAAAACATCAAGGCAGAGCTGGGTGTGACCGCAATCCTAGGTACTATGTATTATGACTCTTCCTGGGGCTTGTAGTTCCTACGTTACAAGAGCTATTTCAGAGCCACTTAACACATTTTCTTGACTGACTACCTCTTCGGGAAAGCATTGAGAATGTGCAGTCACATAGTCCAGAATCCTACCCACGGAGTAATTATTTCTCATTTAACTTGCTCCATTTCTGTAGAGCACTTACATGATGTCTTCCAGGAGCTTCTAACAAGCTTTTTGCTGTAATCGTTGAAACCTTTCTAACCACTAGCCAAAAGCAAGAGAATTGATTAGCAAGAAAAACAAAGCGTCTTCAGCCCAGAATCTAAGTTTCCTGTCAAGGTGATTTAAACCATGCTCAGGGAGAGATGTGTGTTCATAGCAGCCGTGAAGAATGCCCCCTTGCCTTGCCCACACGTCCTGGGTGGTCCACCTGGACGCCACTCAGCAGGCCTCCCCTCCCCTGCAGAGGAGGAGCCTGGTTCCTCCATCCTAGTGGTCTGCCTGCACGGATGCTGTCACCCTAGCCAGCCTGGCTCTGTGTAGGGCCTACGTGGTCCAGGAGGCCAACAGGCAGGTAGGGTCCTGGCGCTGACCCGGGCACACAGCGTCCTGCAGCTGTAGGGTTCTTGTTTAAGCGCTAAGTGTCATGGATTGAATTATGTCCCCCAAAAAGATAGTGTTGAAGTCCATTAATAGGCATATTCCAAAAATGTGACCATATTTGGAAATAGGGTCTTTGCAGATGTAATCATGATGAGGTCATATTGAATTAGGGTTGGCCCAAAGTTCAATCACTGGCGTCCTTATAAGAGAGACCGAAGAACACAGGGAGAAGACCATGTGACCACAGAGGCAGAGAATGGAGTGATGCACCTACAAGCCAAGGAATGCCAAGCAATGCCTACCAAGACAGCTGCTCGGAAGAGCCGAGGAGCAGATTCTCCCACAGAGCCTCCAAAAAGGAATCAACCTTGTCGACATCTTGATTTTTGATTTCCAGCCTCTGGAGCTGTGAGAGGATAAATTTCCGTTATTTTAGCCACTCAGTTTGTGATACTTTGTTGAGGCAGCCCTAGGAAACAAACACACCCAGCGTCTGCTGTCACACGGCCTGAGCTCGAATCCAGCTCTGCCCCTCACTAGCCCTATCGCCTGGGCCTTTTTCTTAACCTCCAGAAGTCTCAGTCCCCTCATGTGTACACTGGGAGTACTAGCAGTACCTATCTCAGGAGTACTGTGAGGAATATATGGGAGGACACACATAAAGCATAAGTACTGTGCCTACTACACTGTAAATGAAGAGATTGCATTAGGTTGAATCATATGAACCTGCTGTTACTCAACTGTTTGTGACCTACAAAAAAGGCAATTTCCTATGGTGGTGGCAGTACCAACATCAGAGTCTTTGTTTATAATATGTTTGGTTTTTCCAACAACAATTCTCAATTTTGTCACCAGTTGGTTGTCCTACAATTCAATTCAATTCTGACACCACTCAGAGTTAGCACAGAACAAACAGGTTAAGGGCTCAGTCCCACAAGACTACCCCCACTTCAGGGGCCAGTTGCAAATGGGGGCCCCAGGCTACCCACACATCTGCTCTGCTCAGCTGACTACAAATTTAGGGGTTCCCGCTACACCCCCACTTAGGTTTAATAATTC